ATATAGTTCATGCCATAATTCATTATGGAAGAATTTTCAAAGCCGTTTAATCGTTAAACATTTTAGTGTCGAAAAACAATAGCATAAAGCATAGTTCTCATATATGCAATCCAAACAATACTGTGGTCAGTCCGATAACTGAGTAGTACCCACGTTTTGGAACGTGTCTCCCGGACCTTCTTTCAACGTAGGTTCGTGGCAAAGTTTTGTAAATGCGGTTAGTCGTCCGTGGCAGGCGAGAGTCCCAGAGCCAGATGACAAGCATTTCGGGCCATGCTGTTGTTTGAACAGTATTTGGGCAACAAGGACAACGAGACTCATCCAATTTGCGCAGAGTTCGTATCCTTTATGACTGTTGAAGTTTATTCAGGATTTGGCGCTTAATGCCTACTTCATATGCCTGTGCAGCCAATGTTTCTCTTTGATAAAGTCCGTCCAGTCAGACCATCTGGAAAAGTACCCTTGTTTCGTGGCATGCTGCACAGTCAGGTCTTCTCGCATTGGTTTTTGACCTTGCTTTGAGTTTTTCTTCCTGGATGCTCCCATATCACCTGTCGCTCACGATCATCCGCCATTCCCCATCTTCTCTAGCTAGAGAAGTGGGTCTTTGTTCTCTATTTCTCCTATTTAGTATTTCTCGCAGTTGCATTCTAATGTGTGAGTAAACCTAGCCTAGTGAGTTATTATTTTCAAAATTATTTAATAGTGCATCATTTTGTCAATAACATTAATATAACATTTAGTGTCAAGTATTCTTATAATTTTTCAGAACGGTAGAATCAAGTATGGTTTATTATTAGCATCGTTGGTATAATAAATAAATTTAGAATTAATTTTATTTGGCGATGATGCATTAACTAATTTAGTTAGGTAGTAATCTTTATTGAATCTGGTTAATTTGACACACTCTATCACATCTTCAAAAAATTTTATTGCAGAATTGCAGTCTCCTTCGATATTGAAGCTCAGCTACAAAGATTTGTCCATTATTTCTAATAATCTTTTGCGTATTACTTTGATTTATTTTCAATGATATTTCTACAATATTCTCGTAACGATGCTGAAAAGTTAAGCGCAAACGACCTTATCCCGACTCTATTGGGTATATTTCCGTTTTAACAATTAAATTATTTGATTGCTAGGTTATATGAAATTGGAACTGGTACAGTATTCCAATAGTAGTATGTCTGTATTAGAGAAGCGTTGCTCATATGTATATACATGCATGTTCTTATGTCTATCCTGTATTAAGCTGTTTTAATTTACTGTGATATTGCAAGAAATTGAACAGTTCTGCATTGATCATGTGCTGTTATGGCCTTACGATAGTAATAACCCTTTAGAATAGTGAGTTTTTCGTTCTTCAAAACTGAAAATGTTAAATTGGATTGCTTGAATTTCAACTTCTCTATGATAGTTCCCTTTCGAGCCTCTTTGTGTTTCTGGACCTTTATTATTTTACTTTGAGGCCGAAATATCGGTTGCTGCCGTTGTGATTGTCGACATTTATTTTCGTCATTCGAATTAGAACCACTGTAGGTTCATTCTTAGCGTTGAATCTAATTAACCTGGGATTTTAGAAAATCGGATTTACTTCCTTCAGCTGTTTTGAGCAATTATCCGTATAGTTTCTGAACAAAGCATCGATTTTTTTCCTCATACCATCTAGCTTATGAACCTAGTTGAACAACTGATTGGCTATACCGTATGGGTGCGACGATGTTTAAATGGCTGATGCCAGAAAATTTGCGAAAGTAAAATGCCTTTATCACTTGAATGATCAAGATCAAAATATTACGGAGTAAGCTATTGTTCAAACTTGTACATCTGCATATTTATCGCTTTGAATTGTGTATAAATTTCATCATGTTTGACTTGACAGGTACTTGCTCAGAATCTGCAGTATAAGAAACAACCCAAGCTGAATCCGCTCTAATCACTCCTATCCTCCCTGCTAATTTACAGATTTTTATATATTGTGCAAATCAGTTTTCTTTTCGTTAATCCCACTCCGCTGTCTTCATTATTTCTTCCTTATTTGACTGTTGTGCATTTTGTTTATGGTTACTGTGCATTATGCCTCTTTTGGTATACTGTCACTACTGCAATAATAGCCTCTGTTCATTCTTTTTTTTTCTCTTCATTAATTCGTTCTTTCAGTCATTCACAAGTTCGTTTATTCATTTCATTCATTCATCTATTCTTCATCTATAATCTCGGTCTACCTCGATGTGGTCAATTTTAACTTAGTTTTTAAATCGGAGGAAGTTTAAAGTCGGTTTCTTTATGAGTAGTTGTCAGCAAAATTGAATTTTTTCCCAATTTGTATGTCTAACTGCTGTAATTCTTCCTTTCATTATTTTCACCAAAAATAATATATTGAAAGGGTAATATAGGCTTTCTTCCTGTTTCTGATCGACCCACAAAATCTTTGAAAACGAATTATTTTTTTTGAAATATATTAGTGTTTCATGCAATAGTGCAATTAATTAACTGTACATATATTTATATTTACACAATTCCTGTCCTTCTTTCACTGTTTCATTTTTTTCGAACCGTTTGTGGGACTAGTACTGGGGTTACTGTATGTTGGTTTCCATCGTCCTGACGTTTGTTTCTCTGTTTTACATCTCAGCATGGAATCTGAACTTTTTCGTTTCCTTCCGTAGGTGTTATTGATCACGCAGAAATACTTCAGACTGAAGTGCATTTGACAACAAGTTTATTGATCCTGTCATTTTCATAATAGCCTTTTTGGTCCACTGCACAAAAGCCTCTCAAACACTTTCCCAAAAATTCTGTCTTCTGCCATTCTTCTTCAAACTGCGCGAACAGATTACTTTAATTCATCTTGCAGGCGATGAGGAGGTTCTTTCACTGGCACCGTTTACTGTTTGTTAAAACCCGTTGTAACATCTCTCTGGTCCAGTGATGGTCTACTCATGTTGCAATTTCTTTCTTGCGATGACTCTGCACAGACCCCTGTTTGTTCTCGGATTCATTTGTTTATTCTTGTTTCAACTTATTATCCCACTTGTCGATTCTAAGTTCTAATATTTCTTAGGATCGTCTTCTTATATGCACAACAGGTGACTGATGGTGCAGTTCTTTGTTTTCAGTGTTAGTGCTTCGGCCACGGTTCTTGGATTGAAATCAGTTTTTTTGACGAATTGCTGGATGTAGGCCACTTCAAGACTTTGCCATAAACTTCTTTAACTGTCATTTTCATCCACCTTGATTCAGCCAACTTCTTGAGCTCATCCTGCCATCGGTGTTGAGGTCTTTGTATGGGCCGTTTGCTCTCGCTTGCAGCTTCGTCTACTGTCTCTCTGGATCCGCAGCTATCGGTTCTTGCAGCGGTTCTTGTGCACTACCACATTAACTTCTTTACTGCACAATAACATCGCAAATAGCGTCTCACACATCGCTACTTGAACTTAATCTGGACCTGTGAGAAAATCGCCTTAAGAATAGCTAGGGCTTTGGACAGTTTGCGAACTGAGAAACGACGTTAAAAAGAAATGTAGGACACATCTGGCCAGAAACCTACAAATCTGTAAAAAGTGAGTCATTGCATTGCGTCATTTTCATGCTCTGTCGTCTGTAAAAATTCCGCTGTTTTGCTTGTACAGTTAAAATAAGAAAATACTATCGTGTGGAGCGATGGTTATTTCTTGTTAGGTCCGTGTTTGAACATGGAATGTGTACCTGACGAGATGAACTGCTAAACAGCACTCTTAGAGTGAACTCAGATAGAACGGTAAAAAATGCAGAAATCTGATCATGCTGGTTATTTCACATGTAATAGGGGACCACATCTGTTCCGGAGAGACGAGTGATACCATGCATTTCATACGTTAGGGATATCGCACAAAATTGTCATGCGTAACTCATCTCGCATTCTGCTGGATTAACCTAACTGACTATTCATCAATGCTACATTATTTTAATATTCATCATCATCAGTTATTGTCGATTCACTGCTGGATAAAACCTCTGCAAGATGTTGCATTTCCAAAATTTCTGTTTTCCGCCCGTTATGATATTATGCAGATTAATTTAATTCGGCATAATTCGTACTCACATAACTAAGACCAAATTTCATGACATATTGCACCAACATGTTCTCGTAGTTGCCAGAGAGGGTTTGCAAGTTGGCCATAATCGAGTACTTTCACGCAAGCTATGTTAGATGCACGTGGCTTCTTATATTCGCTACAACAATGTCTTTCTGGTACAGCGTTTCCTACTGCATAAGCTTCGAAATATGGATTCTTTCGCAGTCAAGATTTTACGGCGTATACATTGTAGTATACTAAATTATGATGCTATAATCTATTAACTAGATTAATCATAGATCCTACTATCAGTGAATGAGCATGACCCTTAGATTAATGTGCTGCGATCAGCGATGACTTAGTTGTCAATTCGGGCGGACTTTATAGAGTTACCTTGTGCCGTTAAGCCGGTATGATGCAGGATCATATGCAAAGTGTATATTGCATATGTTGCTATAATATATCCTGAAGGCATTGAAAGGGTGAGGTGATGACCAGTCTGTGTTCAAAGTCTAAGTAGTCGCATGTTGTTCTCCCCGTTTTGTGAACATATGGGCTTCTATTCTTCATATTCGCGGAATAATCTAATATCATTAATACCAGTCTGTCTGGAACAGAAATGCTTGGAGCAGTAAGCCTGAATAGAAGGACTCGGAGTAGCCATTTGTGTACAATTAAAGACTTTCATAAGTTCTATAACAGTTGGACAAAGGTTATATATTTACATATGACCATTGTCAAGGTTTTACCCGATGCTAGGAGCATCCTTTCGAGGATTTCACATTTGATGGCTTTTGTCTGAGATCTTCCTCACCATCGTTCTCCATAGGATTTTTCATTCGCCGTTGGTTTCGCAACGCATCTGTCGAAGATGTCGAAATTGCATTATACGTATACTGTTTATCGGATAATTATTTTTTCTTAACGCTAATTTTCTTAGTTGTCTCTGCGTCGGTCGCGATGTCGTCTCCGTCCGATCGCAAAGCAGAGCTGGAACGGAAGAAAGCGAAACTCGCCGCCATGAGAGAGGAAAAGAAGAGGAAAGAGGAACGTCGAAGGCAGCTGCTCAGCACCGAAGCAGGTACTATTTGTTTGCTAAATTTGCCATGTTTCGTTTTTTCGTATGCTTAGGTAAGGAGTCTCTGATCGAAGACGCTGACAAAATCCTCAAAGAACTTGGTATTTCCCTCGGCCACTCCGCTTCTAGTGAAGCCATCACGCCTACTAACGAATCTTCCTCAGTTGCATCTCTTTCGGCCGATGCGCCTCTCAACGCAGCGGCTGCATCGACTGTCAAAAATCTCGAAATTCGGCCGATGGTGCAGCTTCAGAAGACTGATACACTTCATATCAACGTCCCCCCGAAAGAGTCGGTACGTTAGCCATGTTTCTAGCTGTTAAAATCACAGTGGCCTTCATGACAGGTCCCCATGCTGTAACGTGAATTTTTCATGTACGTAAGTATATTATCTGTACAGTGAATATATAGTAGTAAGTGTATGATGATATATCTTTCCTAGTGCCGTAATTAAACGGCAGAGTGAGAAATCTCAATGTTAGACCATCCTATCACACTACCTTTAAACTAATAATCAGATAGTGACAAGTGAGCGGCATCGTAAAAATTATTCTTCAGTTGAAGCAGTTGTAATGCATTAAATAATTTGTAGCCATTGATTTCGATGATATTGAGGACACATGCGCGTAATTCCATTTCTTGCCTTACATATTTTAGGAAATGATGCAATTCTTAATTTCTGAGACCCTGATGGACATTTCGCAGGTTGCGTGGAAGCTGTTTTCTCCTTCATATGTGTTCATCGATGATATTGAAAAGCAGAAAGGTAGAGATGGGATCATCCTGCTTAATTCCACGTTTTATGGATATATAAGGAGTTTTGGCACCCCTTACCTTCAGCTGCGTCGTGCGTCCTTCCGCCATGCTACTAATTAACCCGTGGGTGCTTTCTGGAACCTTAAAGCGTTTGAGGTCTCGGCTCTTGGTGCGATGGGAAACCATGTCGATGGTGTTGCTAAGGTCTAGAGTTGCGAGGTTTAGCTGTTTACGAGTTTGTTTGGACTGTTTGAGGATAGTGATAAGCTCCTGGAACCGGCTAAATCAGGAAGAAGCGTAAAGTGGTTGAATGACATCTGCAAAATTTTCACATTGATTTAATGACATATCTAATTCATCTATCGTTGGAGAATGTCTAGAGCCAAGAATTGTTTCATAGTGTAATTCCACAAGTCAATCATGTTTTACCCAGTGACGGTAGATTGCAAAAGCAGCAGATAAGAACAAACGAGGCATAACTTCACGAACTGTTTGCATGATCTTTGTTTCGTAACCAGATGAATTGATATTTGAAAATAGGATACTTTTTTCCCGCGTTCACAAGCATTTATATGAAATTTGTTCATTCGGTAAACGTAAGAGAATATTCGATTAGGCCTGAGGGGATTGGCAGTGGGTCTTGTTTTTTTGCACTTTCTAAGTCGTTTCTATTAAGTATATATTCCCTTGAGCAAACATTTATTCCACCATGCTTTGCTACAACCAGCCGAGTAAAACAAGAGTAGTACGACATCGTATGACAATCCACGAATGAAACTACGACGCGGTGTTTGTGTTCGAGTCCAGTCATGCTAGAGCATGCGAAACCAAATTCTATGCTATCTGATCTGTGCGCTGCGATTCTCCTTGACCTTGATAACTGATTAAAGGTCACTACAAATTTAGCCAGATCTTACTGAACTGAAGGTGACGTATGAAAATGCAAAGGTACTATTTCTCAGGAGTTATAATGAATGCAGTTATGTGTATATCTGTTTAATTGCATTAAATTATTTAAGGTGGTTTACGCCAAGTCGACCCAAACCGAAATCGATACGATCGAAAAGGATCTGACGCATTTGCACTCGTACGAATGGGACGACGAGTTCAGCGGCGGCGTTCATCAACCGCAGTCTACCACTGGCACCAGCCCGGAAGAGGTATTCGATGCAGAAGCTTCTCCAACTCATATTATCGCCGGACTGTTGCCTCATATCGAAATGGTTAAGCCAGCCGAGGTACACGTCATTTATATCTTGGCATCCGGATCGAACCGAATCGTGACTTGGTCGTTTTCCGTTATGGTGGCTGCTCTATTTCTCTCTCCTTCCGGTGCATGGCCAAAGTTAGCGACTGGTTCGTACTCTCGGCTCTCTGCACGATTGTCGCTGACCAGCTGGTGCAGTTTTCACACTGTTGCGCCCAAACTAACGATTTTTCTTTACTTTTCCATTCTAAGCGTTCTAATCTGCCTAATTTACAGTTGCACCATTCCATTCTTCATTTCCCTTCCTCTTTCGTTTGTTTGCATTTGGTAGCGTTGTCTAATTTCTTGTGAAATACTCGACGCTGCATGTTTGTTGTATACCGGACTGTACATAGAGACTGAACTGTTGATCATCGTTCGACCATCTGAATATGCTCATAAACGAAAAACGAGTTACAGATTCAGCGCCCATAATTTGCTTTAGGTACTTACCGACGAAGCGGCGCACACAGACTCAAAGACCCATGTTTCTGAGGCACCAGAGCTTAGTGAAGAAGAAAAACGCAGCATTATGTCATCTGAGGAATTTCGACATTTTTTTGATCGTTCGGCTACGATAATCGAACGAGCTCTAAACGAAGAGGTATATACACTGTTTGTTAATAGTTTTGTTGAATGAGTGTTTGATCGTGTGTATGAATATGTTTACGCTAATTAATTGAATAATCTTGACTAATTGATAATTGATGCCTGCTATTTCTTGACTGCTTACTGTGAGGTCTCAAGCGACCAGTTTGATAGCTCTGTTTCAGCAACTGTACCGGCTAAGTATTGTAAAGTCGGGGCTTCGTTCTTGTTTCCTGTGGTTTTTGTGACCCGCTCAGTATCAGGGAACCTGATCGGCATTAAGTCTTCAACAGATATGAACTGCATCGTACCATAATCGGCACGCTGAGAAAGGAATAACTTTTTCACATAAATTCGATTGCACTGTGACCAAACCAGACTGATGTTGCGATTCTAGATCGAGACTGTTGTTAGAAGAAAACATCACTAACGAAATTCAACAGCGTGCAGCAACGTTGGCCATGACGCATGGTAACTGATAGGGTTATGCATCTTGTAGTGTATCATAACTAGCATTTTTTTCGATCAGCTTCTGGTTGAATGCCTTTCCAAGACTTGACCATAAATTTATGTATTCTGTGAATCTTATCCATACTGATCCAATGAACTTCTTCAATTCATTCAATTCAGTTCAATTCTCCTGTCATTGATCTGATGGCCTTCCCACGAATCTTTTACCCA